GCACTTGAGCACACCTTCGGTCGCTCTCACATTTTCTTGCTACTGGATCTAGGTCGGCCAGCGTCCTGCGCCTATTTCACAGGAAAAAAGTCGGACGTTGTCGTTGTCGTATGGTACAGTCACCACCAAACACATAGGAACAGTGGCCCAAAACGTGCCTCCCTATGTAACACTTCGATGGCTGACAGTTAAATATAGCACATGGGCTGGACGCGAATTAAACGGTCTATATGTACCGCAAATGGCTGGTAGTTACCTTTTAACAGGAACAGGCCCGACACAATTCCTGGCTCGTACCTGACAGACAGACAACTCAGCCACCTCTGTGGCTTGGTCGTTGCGCTGAGCAGTTTCTGCAGTCCCTTAGGGGATTTATATAGCAGATGAAGATTGGGAGAAAGTTATTCCAACAAAGCGGAGACGTTTATTAGTAATTCTATAATTCGATAGAGTAAAATCATTTTCCCCAAAACGCCCTATATTAATATATGTCCTGCTTTTCGTACAGCATCTCAGAGGCATGGATCAATCCACCTCCCTCATCCCGCGTTTAATTTTCAAACACACTTCATTCCATCCCCACTTACGGTTACACAGGTCTGTCTAGCGTGATGGAACAACCCGATCTGGTAAGGCCAAATCTATAACATCTGAGAATATATGTACAATGAAAGGCGGGGAGACGTGAGGCACATATATGCCTGGAAGGTACGGAAGAGAATGAAATAACGCAGCGCGTTACTAGTGACAGGCTCAAAAGTGGTCCTAACTGTTGCTATCATTTCCCGTAAGGCGGCTTTATAGCGTGGAAACACTTTGATGTTCGACCTTGGATTAAGTAAACCCTTGTTGATATCCGTTTCCCGAAGTTCGCAACAAAAACATTCTAAATTAAGTTTACCCAAAATTATGACAAACACTGCTCAACAAGTTTACGTCCAGTCATAACAGAATAACTACAAAGGAAGAATTTAACCGAAAATATTGGTGAGTCCTAAGCGGTTAAGTCAAACGACCGCCTAATTTTGTCGTGCCTCATCCTATGCGAATTGCAGCCTGGTTATTGCTTTTCCTTTTGAAATGTTTTCCTTTGAGAGGCTTATGGAAGTGATTAAAAGCAAGAATATAATTCTTCAAAGACCCTTGCAAGGGGATCATGAAAAATACCCAACAAAGGAATTTTCGTGATTAAAACATTTTTAAAGTGTTATTCCTCGACACCCAGTTGCCTATGCGCGAACGGAGACCCGGTCGTCTCCCTTAAGTAGGCAATACCTTAATAATTCACAGACTCATGTCAGGCAAACAGCATTTTCCTAATCAAAAAAGCTGACGGAATTGCCTAAGCCTAGCCCGAATGAGCACGCCAAGTTTTTGATCAGGAGTTTTCTGGACAACCTACACATACGATCGATATGCCTGATTTTTTTAATTCCACAGGGAGCCAAGTTCCGTAAACAGTGGGTGTCTAGAGATAGTAAACCGTGATGCACGGCTTAAGAAAGCCCCTGGTCAGAAATAAAAATTGAGAATAGCTATATATACGGGCAGAAGATCACTCCTGTCAACTGTCAAGGCAGAGAGTAGATGGCAAAAGAAAAAGATTTGTATGAAAAAAGATAGCAAATTACAAGACACCTATGAGAATCAAAGACTGCAACAGATCAATGAAGTTCAAAAGTATAATCAGAGCTTCGGCTTGCCACCGCGTTTCTCGAACCAGGCATCACTACTATCAGAAGTCATGGCTTCAGACAAAAGTTCATCGGCTTTCGGGTCCACTTGAGAAAGTTCACGGAAGGCCTCGTCACCAACAAAACATATCTCATGTCCATCCTAAACGGAAAAAGACAGTAGCCAAACAGTAATTAATTAACACATACTCGAGACTTTAAACCTGCTTAAAAAAACAAACGGTGAATTACAAACGAGAATTTCAAACGTAAAATCTGATAAACTGTCACTGAACAAGTAAAATGACACACCTGACAGATTTGTAGTTTCGGAAATAAATGGATTATATGTCAATGCGTACTCGAATTTTGGACGACAAGCATAAAATGGGACCTCATGCTAAGAATAATTATTCGTAGTATGCTCAGAGTTGTTTGACTACATTATTATGGACACGGAACGATGCATTATGAACGATCCATAAGGTAACTTATTATATTTCAAATTCCTCGTACGATGCTTGTTTACGAGTGGTTGCAAAAACAACAACATTAGTCGCTGTACGCGTCCGTGTACAACTATCACTGGCTGGCGTGGCTGAAGTCGAAACGAAAGTAGCACACAACAAGGCGCAGGGACACTTAAAGGGTTCTAATCCTTGTACAACAATAAGGGATCCTCTCGTGGTGTACGCTAACATAGACCGTAAGTTACCATTCTTTTGGCTGGCAAGGGGAAGAGCGATCGAAAATAAAGCGGAAGATGTTCCACATCCAAATTTCGAGAGGTAACAGAGAAACTTACCGGATCAGCAAGTATGACGACATCGACGGTGGCCTTCCCGGGGGTGTCCAGACTGACAAGGCGAGTTAGAATTGTCTGATTATCGGCCTCTATTTTTTGTTGGATTTTCGGAAGCTAAAGAAAAGGCATTATTTGAGAACTTACTAAATTTACAAACCTCAGATCTGGGACACGAGAACGCAATTCTACCGAAGGCTTGACCGCGATCGATTGGCGATGATTCTCGTGTAATGCGTAAATGACACTGGCCATCCCCATAAGAGAGGACAGTATATGAATCGGTGGATTCCAGTTGATTCATACCCAATTTTTTAACCCAGTAATCTTAAATTTGACTTTAAATGGAAAAAGTACCAACGGATCGAGGCAAATTAGAAACAGAAATTTCAACCATTGTTACGGGGTCC